CAGGCCCCAGGCGGAGCCCCAGCGGCAGGGCAGGAGGTGCCCGAGCGCGGCCCGCCCAGGCATGGAGAAGCGCGCGGCCGCGGGGCCGGAGGGGGCGCCGGGCGCCCGGGCCCAGCTCGCCGTGGTCTGCCTAGGTGAGTGGGCCGCGTAGGCCGGGCGGGGTCCGGGTCCCCGATCCTCCCCGGCTGCTGAGCCTGTGCTGCCATGGCTCCCGCGCAGAGACTGCAGAGCGCGCAGCTCCCCAGCACCCTCCACCCGCCTGCCAGGGCTCGGGGCCCGGGACGGCGACCCCCGTGGCGGAGCCCCTCCCCGCTGCCGCTGGACTCGCCCCAGGCGGCGGGTTCCTGCAGGAGGCTGGGGTCTGCCAGTTGCTTTCAACCTGGCCTGCCTGCGCTTAGCCCGGCGGCGCGATCTGTCCTCAAGCGCTGCGGACAAAGGCCTGGACCACGGATCCCTGAAAAAGGAACCGTTTCCTGCCTGGAGTTGGGGCCGGCCTAGGTGCTAGCCAAAGATGGGAACTCAGTGAGGGTGCTGGGGGAGGCAGTTGCGATTAGAACTCATTTTCCCTTTGTGTCTTTCCAGACCCAGAGGGACGGTGAGCTGGTTCGGCTCCGGTGAGGATAGGGATCTGTTCTGGGGAGGGCCAGGAACCTACTAGGCCTGGAACCTGGATTAGAGGGCTCCTCCTCTGCCCAGGACATTTTCAGTCCACTTTCCCAGGGCCTGAATGCAGGACAGGGGAAGGAAGGAGTTAAATCTCCAACCCACATGGCTCTTTATTTACCTTGATGAAGGAGGGAGGCCCTTCGAAGAGCTGGGGTCATTAAGGGACACCCAGTGATGTCACTGTTGAGAGCCCAGTAACCTGACGGGCTATACTTGAAAGCCACTAAAATGACAAAGTAAAATCAGAACGTAGTTCGTTTTAAGTTGTAGTTTGCATCTGTCCCCCCTCACCCCCCACCCCACCTCCCCTTTCCCGGAGTGTCTGTTTCATAAGCTGGTAGTGGTTGTAGGTCATGGGTCCTGGCTATTGTGTTTTCCAGGTGGACAGGGCAGAGGTTGGATCCTCCTTGCAGGGGAGATGTGCATGCCTGGGCCCAGCAGAACCTGGTGTCCTGGAGTGGGGGCTCAGGTGAAGGATGACTGCTTTAGAGAGGCTCTCCACTCCCTCTATGTTCTCCATATGGGAGTGGGCACCCTGAGCCCCAGGAAGCCAGATTTCTTCTCACTTGGCCTAGACTCTCTTTCTGGGCCTGGAGCCCTGAAGCAGAGCAGTAGGGAGCCCTATGGAAGTGGACACTTGAAGGGTGGCAGGTGAATTCTGTCTTTAGGTCAGCAGGATACAGGAAAGAGGTGAGTGTCGCTGTAAAATGGGCACAAACAGAAACTTCTTCCTCTCCTGCTGCTGCTGGGCGGATGAGGCAGTTGGCAAAGGTGCTTAGAGGGAGGAAGTCTTTCAAGGTGGTAGAAACCCTTTTGACAGTCAGGGACTCACCTAGCCTGAGCCTATGTGATGGGTGGCCCCAAGCCTGTCAAAAAAACCTCTTAACTCCAAGGTAGGAGTGATGTGAGATGGGGTGATGCAACCAATCTAGCACCCTGCTGTGGGGGGTCCTGAGACCCTCTGGGGCCCTAGGCAGCCCTTTCTGTGCCACCCCACTTTCTATCAAGTCCCTATCTCCCTCCCCAGCACAGTTCTGATCGTCTCAGCTGATCAGGCGTGGGAGCAAGAGTCTCGGGCAGGCAGTGCTCCAGGTCTTGCCCTGTGAGAGGAAGGGGATCTACTTTGACTTCAGCGCTACTGTCTTGTGTTCTTTACTACTAATGTAAATATGTACCCAGGACCTCAAGAGCTACCTTTCCCACTTCTGACACCTCTTTTTGTCTTCCACAGTGAACCTCTTTCTCACTGGAAGGCTCAGTAGTGCGGTTCCCGCCTTAGGTGAGTAAGGCCCTTCCTCGTACTGGCACCCCTGGGTCAGTGATCGCGTTAAGGGTGGCCTCTGTCTTAGCTCTACCCTGTGACCACTAGGCCTCTTATTAGGAAAACCTGTAGTTGTGTATCTTTTTAGCATCACAAAGAAACTGTTTGGCTTTGGGCAAGTTTAAACTTGTAAGCCTGCTTCTTCTGTAGAATGGGTAAAATACCAGACTAGCTCAGATCTGGTCATTAGGGTCAGTTGAAGCAGTGACCCAATAGTCTCAGCATGGGGTCTGGCAAGCTGTGGCTTGGTACCACTGAACACTGCCAAAAGCCCTATATAGTTGATAGGTTGTGACTCTTGTGGGCTGTGGGGTTCCCGAGAGCCATTTGCTCATCTGTATTAAAATAACACTTGGGATTTAACTTATAGAGAGGTAGGACCAGTGATGATGCCACACAGAGGCTAATGCCATTGGGAAAAGAATTTGACTTTTCAGCCTGGCTTAGTGGCCCGGGCTTATAATTCCAACTAGTTCAGAGGCTGAGTCAGGAAGAATGTTAAAGCCTGCCTGGACTACAGAGTGGGTTCAAAGCCAGCCTGGTCAACTTTGTGAGACCTTATCTCATAAAAAGAAGTCTGGGGATATAGTTCAGTGGTGGAGAACTTGCCTAGAATCTGCCAGTGAGGGGCTGGGGATGTGGCTTAGTAGTGGAGCGCTTACCTAGAATCCACCACTGAGGAGCTAGGGGACATGATTTAGGGATGGAACTCTTGCCTAGCCAGAGCTCAAGCTTTAGTTTTAGTATAGAACCCCCAACCCCCAACTTTCCACCCTATAGGGCCATGGGAGGATTACTAGGTTTGCCCGGGCAGTCTCAGGAATGAGGGGAGGCAGAAGCACAGCCTGCATTGGGATTTCCAGGAGAAAGGCAAGGCAGGCAGACGGACAGTTTGACGGCATGGAACTGCCCAGTGCGAGTAATTCTGGAGGCGAATTCAAGGGTGGGCTCTGGGTGTCGAGTACCTGGCCCTGGGATGCTTCAGGTTATTGGGGAGTATTGGCTTGTGTGTTAGGGTCAGGAGGATGATGGGTAGGGGCACAGCTCTGGTTCCACTGCTCTGCATGTGAAAGGCAAATTCCAGGCAAGCCAACTTGCAGGAGAGAGGTCAACTGTGGCTGGGTGTGAGAAAACACAGTAAAGGGCCCTGTGCTGGCCTTCTGCCTATCAGTGTCATCTGGCCATCTGATGGTCATCTTTCGGCTCTGGCCTGGTACCTAGCACAGCAAAGATTGTCCAGAGAGAGAAGGGCAACCATGAATATGTGTCTTTAGTTGTGGAGGGGGGTGTGCCACTGGTTAGAGAATAAAGAATTCTGAGAGTTCTGAAACCGGGGACTAATGGAGCCTGCTTTATCATGGTCCCAATAAACCTCACCATCTCTTGCTAATTTGGTCAATATGTGACCATCTTCAGCAAACCCTAAAATGGTACTTAAGTGCCAGGCATGGTGGTGCAGACCTGTAATTCTAGCCCTAGGGAGGCTGAGGCAGGAGGATAGGAAGTTCAAGGCCAGCTGGACTACATAGAGAGACCCTGTCTCAAAATAAAACAAAAAGTATTAAAGTAAGCCCAAGTAATTGGCAAAATGTGTTGGGCCAAGGTGTGGCTCAAGGTGTGGTCAGCAAGGAGGGATGGCCCCTGGTGTGGGGACCTTGGACTTGTCTCTTCTTTGCTGTGTTGCATGGTTAGGCAGTAGCTACCTGGGCTTTCACACTCTGCTCAAAGCCCAACTGGTTGCCACTGAGCCCACTAAGGGGTTTCCTAGGGGGAAGATAGACATCCAGAAGATTTCCTAAGGAGATCTGGCTAGTTGTGGTCACAAGGATTTAAGGGGTGCAGAGTCCACAGAGGCCGGTCTGTCTGCCTGTCTGGAAGACTGGGTGTCTGTCCCCCTTACAATCATAATCCTCTCTGCACCCCAGCTCTGTGTTTTCCTGAAACCCAGTCTCCTCTGCTGACCCAAGTTGGCCCAGAGCCCTACCTTAGTCAGCACTGACCAGCCTGGCCCTGCTGATGTCCTGGCCACAGAGGACATCCCAGTTTCATATCTTGATTTCCAGGCAAGGACTGACTGGGTCAGGTATCTATGGCCAGGGTACAGGGCAGGAGGTTGACATCTTAGAAGCATGAGCTCCAGACCAGTCCTGATGGTGGTGGGTGTGCCTGCTGCACCAGATGTGTTCCCCAGGTTTGCAAAAGTGATGTACCAAAGACGAGGCTTACTCGTAGTGCCTGGGAGAGAGCAACACCTGTCTAGGTTCCACTTTCCTAAGCTGTCAAGACCTCAAACCCAGCAGCCTTCTTGTCACTCACCTCCAGGGGCTGTCGTTCACTTATTGGTGCCTGTGCATGGTACCCTTTATGTTGGGAGCTGCATACACTGCTTAAATAGTGATGACAGCTGGTAGGGTGGACCCTAGAGTCCTTGGAGTCCAGCTCTGATCCTGTGACACTGCTGGCCTAGCCACCCCCTCCCACCATGGCCTCATGACTACATTTTCAAGTATCTTCTATACGATTCCTACCACCATGGAGCCTGGATCAGGAACCGCCTCCCAGCTCCTCGGCCCTAACTGGGGTCAGATGTTTCTGAGAGCCCCGCTGCCTGGGCCTGGGGACCTGATAGGCTTTTGTTCCTCAACCCCTGCCTTGCCCAACCTGTATCAAGCACTCTCTGGGTCTCTTGTATCTTTCACCATGCACCCCCTGCCCCTGCTCCCCTCTGTGACCCTAGAGGGGTGTGCCTGAGCAGAGTTCACACTGTGTTGCATCTGTTAGCTAATTCCCAGAGTGCTGGGGGTAAGAGCCGAGCTCCTGGTTGTCAGATTACACCAGGCAGGTTGTCCAGAGTACCAATTGCCTCTGCAAATCAGATCTGCAGATTGTGCTCCATCAGGCCTTGCCCCGTCCTCTCAGGAGGGTTTAACAATGCTTTAGACCAGCAGTGAAGGACACTGCCCATAAAAGGGCCAATCATCCCTTTCCCACTTAGCCAACCACCAAGGGCACAGGCAATCTTCTGATAGAGTGGAGGCCAGTCTCCTCCACTTAAAGCTCAGACAGACCTCTCTGGCTCCCCAACAGCCCCAAGACTCTCTCCTGTACCAGTATCCCCCAAACACACCGTCCTCCTATCTCTATTCTGTTCACCCACCCTTACATACCCCATCAAACCCTCACTCCCCACAAACCATTCCTGTAGACTCCTCTGCCTCACTAGTCTGTCCCCCATATCACATGAATGTCTGTTTTGAGATTGTCACTTTCCTGATCTTACTGCCATCCCTCTGAGGCAAGCAACATGCACCTGCTCTATTTTACAGATGGGTAGGATGAGGCTCGGCACAGAAGGGTACTTAGGCCCTGGGGTGGTGCACTGGGGTGGAGAGGAGGCTGTTGTCATAGAAAGAGAGCTGGGGTTGGGAGTGGACTGGCCAAGCTAGACATATCTCCAAGCCTATAGCCAAGTGGTATCCAGCCAAGAGCTCCCTCACGGAGCTTCAGGCTCTCAGTGTAGATCCATCCTCCCTCTTGCTGTGAGGCCCGAGTGGTGGCTATAGAATTGTGTTCCCTGTGGTACCCTCTGGAGAAGAAATAATCGAGGCCCAGTGCTCTTGCTGATCCTAATGTGGAGATCTCTGGGACAGTGCTGGGCATCTCCAAGGTGATGCTGTGTGTGGGTTTAAGACAGAGGCTTTGTGAAGAGGCTGAGTTGGGCTGGTGGTGGTCTAGTCATCTGCACAGATGTATGTGTATAGGGACAAATGTTCTGGCTGAGGCAGAAAAAGAGCAAGAGGTCCACTCAAGAGCCCTGACAGACTCAATGTAGAAGAAAGAGGCACCTTTGGCTTTGTTGGGCTTTCCCTGCCCAGGAGCCTCCTGTTCAGCACCCTCTGGAAGGAGAAATCTTCTAGGGCATGCCAGGTTGGCACCTAGGTCTCTTTGAGGCTCTCTGGCTGGTGGCTTCATGTATCTGCGGGAACCAGGTCCAGGCTGGGGGCAGTTTGCATGATCTCTTAAGCCCCTGCTATGCTTGAGCTGGGAGCAGAGTGCATTCAGGAGCTGACTGCATTGCTCCTTTTTCCTAGGCTGGGTTAGGGAGGCTGCATCTGAGGGTGAACTCCAGGGGCAGAGGCACTGGCTTACACACTTGCTGAGTTAGGGCACTTGAGGCTCTAAAGGGTGACCTGAGGATGATCATCCTTGCATTTGGGGCAAAAGTGTCCCTCCCTCCCTCCCACCCCTCTTCCTTTAAGTCTTTTCCTTCCTTTCTTTTCTCCTCCCCCTCCCTTTCCTGTTTTTCTTTGTTTTTTTTCTTTGGCGTCTCATGTAACCCAGGCTACCCTTGAACTCATGATCCTTCTGCTGCAGGCTTCTGAGTGCTAATATTTCAGAGGTGTCATACAGGTGTGTACAGGCGGCTCAAGGATGGTTTTTCTGACTCAGCTCTTTGATGCTCTTGTGAACTGTAGGTAGGGTTGACCCACTCATTTGGATAACCCAGACCCCCATGGTCATGGCTCACAGAATGAGTGTCACCCCTCAGATGCTCAGACGGTACTGAACCAACCATCAGTAGTTCATACTGGTCACGCATTGTAAGTCAGGCACTGTGTAGGCCCCTTGGTGTTGGGCCACAGCATCACAGCCCACCTTCCTGTGGGGGCTCGTTAATAATCCCCGGAACAAGCAGAAAATGACTGTTGTGGGAAAGGCTGAGGAGGAGAGGAGTCAGGGGTGGCGATGACTGGTGAAGCACAGCCAGAGTGAGTGGGATAGGAGGGCAGGGAAGTAAACAATCTTCCCTCCAGGGGAGGGACTTCCGGGGCGAGGGAGGCAGGGAGTTATGGGAGGTCTGAGACAGCTGGTAGACAGATGAACTTCTCTTTCTAAGAGAATGGAAGGCACAGGGTTGGTGGAAGTGTGCGTGTGCGTGTGCGTGCGTGCGTGCGTGCATGTGTATGTGTGTTTCCTCCTTCAACTGCTGCCCTGTTTGAGTTCCCAGAGAGTCTTGCTGACTGCCAGAGAGAATGCAGCTTCCGGACCAACAGTGGCAGGTGCTTGTAGAGGGGGGACAGGAAGCGGACTTGGGGAAAAGGATAATATTCTTCCTTGAGCTAATTTTCTTTCTCCATCTGTAAAGTGGGCCTGGCCTTTGTGACAGGCTGGATCAGATAATCCCTGACATTGCATACAGTTGATACTGTAAACGCTTGTTCGCTTAGGTCTGGCAGTGAGAGGCTGAATCCACCAAAAGACCAGGGTGGGTCGTGACTACCGCTCACAGGTTGTACGGCCTGGGTGATCATTTATTCTCTTACCTCAGGTTCCTTGTCTGGTTAGGACATCTACTTGCAGTATCTTACCACACATATTTGGATAAAACCCCGGTTTATTTTTATTTATTTTTTAATATTTATTATATTTATTTTATGTGTATGCGTGTATTGCTTGCATGTATGTAAGTGTACCCATGTCGCGCAATGCCCACAGAGGTCAGAAGAGGGTGTCAAGTTCCCTGGAACTGGAGTTACAGACAGCTGTCAGCTGCCATGTGGGTGCTGGGATTCGAACCCAGGTCTTCTGCTAGAACAACCAGTGCTCTTAACTGCTAGCCATCTCTCCAGCCTCTTTTTATTTTTAAAAATATTTTATTTATTATTTTTATTTTTTGTGCATGTGTATTGCCTGCATATAAGTGTACCTGTGTCACCCCAATGTCCATGGAGGTCAGAAAGGGTGTCAGATTCTCCTAGAACTGGAGTGACAGATGGTTGTTAGCTACCGTGTGGGTGCTGGGAACCAAGCCTGGGTCCTCTGCCAAGAGCAGCCAGTGGTCTTGACTGCTGAGCCATCTCTCCAGTCCCTCTTTTATTTTCAAAAAGATTTATTTTATTTTTATTTTTGTGTTTGTGTATGGGGGCGGTATGCGCACATGCATGCAGATGCCTGTGGAGGCCAGTAAAGGGTATTGGATTCCTGGAGTTACAGGTGGTTGTAAGCCATCTGATAAGGGTGCTGGGAACCAAACTCAAGTCCTTTGCAAGGGCTGGAAGCACTCTTAACCGCTAAGCCATCTCTCTAGTGCCCAAACCCCAGTTTTATACAAGGTGTTTTCAGACCCTGCCTGCACTCAGAGCCAGAGCTGCATGTTGCCACCTCCCTTCGTGCCCCAGGGATTCTGCATAACATCCATGTGCTCCCATCCCCAGCCTGTGAGCTCCAAGGGGCAGGGCTTCAGCCTGGCTTACTCAGCATGCCTAATCCTTTTGTTTACTGCAGAGTAGGTGCTCAGTAAATGTGCATCAGGTGGCAAAGCCCCTCCTTTCCTGAGGCTGTGGTCTACAGGGGCCGGCAAAGGACCCTGGTGAGAGGCATGTGCAGGTGTGGGTACAGAATCCTCCACTGAGCTGTGGTCCTCAGGTCTCACATTGCAGGTTCTAGTTGCCAAGGGGAGTTGACAATGGCTTTCTCTCAGTCCTGCTGAGATGGAGGCACAGGATCTAGACTCCAGCCTACTACATGGATGAGGCTACTCTGCCCCCAGTCTAGGAGGCTCCTCTTTGACCTCCACTAACACATGACTCTCATGAAATCTTGAGTTTTAGATTTGCCTTTGGTCTTGGCTACCCTTGGCTGGTCTTAATTCCACCATGGGGGAAGCTTGTGTTCAAGCCACAAGAGGGGGCATCCCCCCAAACTTGCTTCCCACCCAAAGGTGGGGGTGCAATTCTCAGCCACCTCTCCCAACAGCTGCCTGCAGTGGGAAACTAGAACAGCACACTGAACGTCGTGGGGTCATCTACAGCCCAGCCTGGCCCCTCAACTACCCACCGGGCACCAATTGCAGCTGGTACATTCAGGGTGACCGTGGAGACATGATCACCATCAGGTAAGGGGGACTTTAGGGTGACTCATGTGTGTATGCCTAGCAGGTATGAAGGGCACACACATGGGTGTGTGTTTGCACACACATGTAGATGTGTACAGTCCTATGTTGGAGCAGGCACAAAGGGTGGGCAAAGGGGGGGGTGCAGTTATGTGTATGTCTAGATGTAGAATCACATTTAGTAAGAGGCAGCTGAGAGACTTGTGTGTGAGCTGTAAGCATGCATGTGAGCTCACGGACATGTGACTGCCTGGTTTCCCTGGCTACGTTTCTTTCTGTGTTGAGCCTCTTTCAAGAGACCTGGAGTTGTCAGTCCTAGAAAGTGAGCCCTAGTTGCTGGTGGGCATGGTTAGGCTGCCGTGAGGTGACAGAGGTGTCGGTCCTCTGTCTTGCACAAGTGGCTTGAGGCCAGGCTGGCCCAGAGCCCAGGTCAGGGTCTCGGATTGTTCCTCAGGGAAGGGAGCTGAAGAGATGTGTAGAGGGAAAACAGGATGAGGTGGCCAAAGTGTGGGCTAGAAGCCCTGGCCTGGGGTGGTCATGGGGACATTTGGCTAGGGGGTGACTGTGGTTTCCATCTGCCATATTTCTGAATGTTGAAGACCAGAAGCATGCCCTGCGTCCAGGTCCATAGGTCTGAAGGATAAGGACATGATGGGTATGAGGAGAGCTGTTCTGGTTCCTGTCTCAGTTTCCCTCAGTTTTACCTGAGTGACCAGCTGTCTCTCATCTGCAGCATTGGCTAGCTCCATGAGCGCAGGTCTACCTTCAGTGCTCATGCCTGGGCATTTGTATTGTCCCAGCTGGCTCAACGTGGGAGGAATCGGAGCCTTTTCCCCTTTCAGGGAAAAATGTCAGAGTGCTGCTGACCCTTTGCACTCTGGTGTGTGTGCTGATAGCCGGGGACAGGGAGCTGCAATGGATAGATGTTAATATCTATCTGCAAATAGGGATATTATTAACGGGGAGCTGCAAATAGATACTGCCTGTGGATGCTGTGAATCCCCATGGAGTTGCCCTTAGACCCTGGGGTGGGGACAGAGTGGACACCAAGGGGCTGCGAGTGCAAAGCCAAACGGTTTGGGAGACACAGGGAAGATTTCTGGGTAGGCCAGGGCTAGCTGTCCTTGTCACGAGCTCCAGCATGACCACTCTCTGCTAGTCCTCAGGCCATGAAGCCCCTGCCCACCCACCAATCCCTCTGGTCCTCTCTGCCCCACAGTTTCCGCAACTTTGATGTGGAGGAGTCCCATCAGTGCTCCTTGGACTGGCTCTTGCTGGGCCCAGCAGCTCCACCTCGCCAGGAGGCCTTCCGCCTCTGTGGCTCAGCCATCCCACCTGCCTTCATCTCTGCCCGTGACCATGTCTGGATCTTCTTCCACTCAGACGCCTCCAGCTCCGGTCAGGCGCAGGGCTTCCGCCTCTCCTACATCAGAGGTGATGGCCACCACCCAGTGGGGTGGGAACACCAGGGAGCACCCAGTATATAGATTCCTAAGCGCCTACACTGGCCCCAACTCCTAGCAAGGGCTCCCCTTACCAGCCCTGCCAGTTGTAGGATGGGGGTGGGGCTGTCATGCTGCTGTCTTGAGGTGCCTTGAAGCTTTTCCAGGTCATTGGCCCCACTTCACAGGCATGGCTAGAGGTAAACCTGCCCCCAGCCTAAGCTCAGCCTCACTGAACCCAACCTGCCATCCCAGGAGTCTCTGCCCCCTAGATGGCCCTGCCTCTTTGTATAGAGGCCCAGTCAGGATGTGACCCACCTCCCTCTCCCAGTCTCAGGTCCTCTGCTGGAGAGAGGAGGCTCTGCCACCCTCTGACTGCCTCCTGCCACCCCTTTGCCCTCCAGGGAAACTGGGCCAGGCATCCTGCCAGACAGATGAGTTCCGTTGTGACAATGGCAAGTGTCTGCCTGGCCCATGGCAGTGCAACACGGTGGATGAGTGTGGGGACGGCTCAGATGAGGGCAACTGCTCAGCACCAGCCTCGGAACCACCAGGCAGCCTGTGCCCTGGGGGCACCTTCCCATGCAGTGGGGCACGTTCCACCCGCTGCCTGCCGGTGGAGCGGCGCTGCGACGGCACTCAGGACTGTGGTGATGGCTCTGATGAGGCCGGCTGCCCCGACTTAGCATGTGGCCGGCGGCTGGGCAGCTTCTATGGCTCGTTTGCCTCCCCAGACCTATTTGGTGCTGCCCGTGGGCCTTCAGACCTTCACTGTACGTGGCTGGTGGACACGCAGGACCCTCGGCGTGTGCTGTTGCAGCTTGAGCTACGGCTGGGTTACGATGACTACGTGCAGGTGTATGAGGGCCTGGGCGAGCGAGGGGACCGGCTGCTGCAGACACTTTCCTACCGCAGTAACCATCGGCCTGTGAGCCTCGAGGCAGCGCAGGGCCGCCTCACTGTGGCCTATCATGCCCGTGCCCGCAGTGCTGGCCACGGCTTCAACGCCACTTACCAAGTAAAGGGTTATTGCCTCCCATGGGAGCAGCCGTGTGGGAGCAGCGAGGGAGATGATGGCAACTCGGGGGACCAGGGCTGCTTCTCAGAGCCACAGCGCTGTGATGGCTGGTGGCACTGTGCCAGTGGCCGGGATGAGCAAGGCTGCCCGGCCTGCCCACCAGACCAGTACCCCTGTGAGGGTGGCAGCGGCCTGTGCTATGCACCTGCTGACCGCTGCAACAACCAGAAAACCTGCCCTGATGGTGCTGATGAGAAGAATTGCTTTTCCTGCCAGCCGGGCACCTTCCACTGCGGCACTAACCTGTGCATCTTTGAGACGTGGCGTTGTGATGGCCAGGAGGACTGCCAGGATGGCAGCGATGAGCATGGCTGCCTGGCTGCTGTACCCCGCAAGGTCATTACGGCTGCTCTCATCGGCAGCCTAGTATGTGGCCTGCTTCTTGTCATCGCCCTGGGCTGCGCCTTTAAACTTTACTCCCTGCGCACACAGGAGTACAGGTGGGCACTACTGTGGAATGGAGCCTCAGTTCCCTGGAGAGAAGTGATGGGCTCACCGTGTTCATAGCTGAGCACTGCCCTTGTGTGTGCATGCTGGGGTCCAGATGGAAGGGTGGGGTCCCCAAGTCCCATTGCAGTGGCAGATCTCTATCATTCCTCCCTTCTGCCCATTGCTTCCAGGGCCTTTGAAACTCAAATGACCCGTTTAGAGGCTGAGTTTGTGCGGCGGGAGGCCCCCCCATCCTACGGTCAGCTCATCGCACAGGGCCTCATTCCACCCGTCGAGGACTTCCCTGTCTACAGTGCATCCCAGGTGAGCCTCCATGAGTGTAAGACCCACAGCCACAGGACCTGGAGGCCTCCAGGGGGCTAGCTGGGGCTGGGGCGATGGGAGTAGGGAGGTGTGCACAGACAGGTGAGGGAGCACAAATTAGTCTCTGGTCCTGTGGAGGTGTGCTGACTGCCCTTGAGTGGCCTGGCAATCTCCTTAGCTGCTACCCCACCCTCAGGCTTCAGTGCTGCAGAACCTTCGCACAGCTATGCGACGACAGATGCGTCGGCATGCCTCCCGTCGGGGGCCATCCCGCCGTAGGCTCGGCCGCCTCTGGAACCGGCTCTTTCACCGGCCCCGGGCACCTCGAGGCCAGATCCCACTGCTGACTGCTGCGCGCACCTCACAGACTGTGCTGGGTGATGGGCTTCTCCAGCCAGCACTAGTGACTGCCCCCAATCCTCCAGCACCCCACATGGATACATGCAGCCCCAGGGCAGCTGAGGATGGGCCTGCCAGTGGCCCTGGCCATGCGCCAGAAGTTGGGCCTTCAGTGCCACCCCCACCCTTGAGTCTGCAAGACCCAGAGTACAGGCCAGCAGACAAGGACAGAAAAGCCTGTGGGGATCCTCTGGAAGACAGCCCAGCCCCTGTGGACACGCCTCCTGAGCCCTGCTCAGCCCAAGACCCCCACCCCCAGGCTTCCACTGCCAGTAGCACCCAAGATCCCCACTCACCAGAGCCACTGGGGGTCTGCAGGAGCCCCCCACCAACCTGTTCCCCAATATTGGAGGCCAGTGACGATGAGGCTCTGCTGGTCTGCTGACCCACTGGACACGCTGGTGACTGCCACAGCCCCGCTTTGTAACCAGGGAATACACAGTTGTTTCTACCCGGCCTCTGTGTTCTTTCTTACAGAGAGAGGCCCACCTAGCAGTTCCAATGGAGGGCCTGGGCGCTCGGCCAGCAGGCTGCCTCAGCAAGCCCATAGCCCTGGTGGGCCTGGCAGGCAGGGGCTGCAGGGGATTGGCCTGGGAAAGAGGGTGGAACCATGAGCTTGCCTTTGAGGTCTGCGTGAACATAGCACCTTGGGGTCTCTTGTCCACTTGCTCTCTGCAACTCTGATCTGGGACTCAGTTTCCAGAGAAGCAAGGGAACCAGGGCCAGGCTTTCTGGAATGTTTTGTGTGACTTCTCAGTTCATTCACCCTCTGGTGGCATCAGCTGCCCACCCCAGAGCTGTGCCAGGAGCTGTAGTAAGGCCTGCAAGGGCCATGGAGGGTGTTGGACCTCGTTCATGGTGAGTGCTCCGTCTACCCCTCCCCTCAGGGATCCTGTAGGAGATGGGCTAGGGGCTTCGACCCATGGTGGCAGTATGGGCATGGCTAGGCCAGTGCCCTTTGAGGGATCCTGTAGGAGATGGGCTAGGGGCTTCGACTCATGGTGGCGGTATGGGCATGGCTAGGCCAGTGCCCTTTGCCCACTGGCTTCTGGGCCAATCCCCAGGCACTATGATAAGGTAGGAAAGGTGGCCATGAGAGAAGACTGACCACGGGACAGGCCGCTCTACACCTTCTCAGGGGACAGAGGCCAAGGTATTGGCTAACAATGGCCACATCCAGCCCATCCTGCCTCAGGGCCTCAGTTTCCCCAACTGAAGCCAGTGTGAAGTGGAAGTGGTGGCATTCACTCTGTAATGATTTATGGGAAGACAGTCCTAGCTGGGGCTTTCTGGGTTTTCCTGGGTGGCTGAGCTCAAGGTGGCTCATGGAGAATCATGGATGGAGCCCCATCCTCACTGTCACCTTGGGGCAGGATGACTCTGGGCCCCATGGAGCCAGCTCTGGGTCAAGCAGCAAACCCTCTAGTGCTGAAAACCTCCACAGCACCTTCCCAGCTAATGTCCCCCACCCCCAACTGAGGCATGTTCCCAACCTGCATACAAGCAACAACCAGCCCTGTTTATTTCTAGTCCTTTCAGAAAAAAACTAGCAGGGCTGTGCTAAGACAGGAAGCCTGACCCCAGCAGTAGGGTTCCTTACAACAGGCCTCTAAGGGTCATATTTCTTTTTTTCCAGAAAAAAGTTTTTTTGAAAAAAAAAAAAACCCTCCTTAATAAACAACATGTAAACAGAAACAGCTGCTTCAGTCTCTACAAGGTGTCATTGTGTCTTCAAGGGCTTGTCCGTGGTGGGCAGTGGGGAGGCCTGGCCCATGGGGCCATTTTCCTCCTCCTCCAGGGAGCCCTGGGGGTAAACCACGAAACACAGCTCCTGGCCCCAGCGTGTCATGGACTCTAAGGACAGACAGACGAGACACACAGATGAATTGTGGGGGCTTGATCTTTGACAGGGGTGACACCCAGCTTTGGCAGGGGTGACACCTCCTGCCCTGGACAGGGAGTTGCTCCCTCTGCAGGTGGGTCCTGGCCACATCTGCCACCTGGTGAGATATCTTGGAGAAGTCACTGGGTCCTGAGTCACCAGCCAGGAGGCCCCACTCTGGGGTGGGATCATAAGATACCCACCCTTCCAAGGGGCATGAAGGCAAGGCTGCCAGCTCACCTGTGAGTCTGTGCACACACTTTGGTTTGCTTCTCCAGAATACTCCCAGGAAGAAGATGGGGACCCCAGTGAGAATGATGATGACACCGACCCCACAGACCATAGGCTCTGAGATGAAGCTGAAGATCAGCAGGAATGCCCAGAACACCAAGTATGTAACAGGGACAAGGAGGTTCACCTAGCAGAGAAGGAGTCAATAGGGTGCAGTACCCCAGCTCTTCTGCTCCCACCACCCGGGGGTCAAAGGACTGCCTTCAGCTCCTGGGAGTTGTGGCTTGCAATAGCCCCTCTGGCAGCAGCCTGGTGCACTGGAGGGCAAGTCGTGGGTTGACCAGTTGCCAAACTGCTAAAGTTGCCCGTTTCAGTAGTGCTGAATTGAGCATACAATTATGCGCAGGCTGCTGCTTGCATTGGCTGCAGCTCAACTATTTTTTGGTGTTTTGCATTTCAAGCAGTCTTCAGGATTTATATACAAACGGAGGGCTTTTCTGTCACCCTTTCATGTGGGATCACGAAAATGCCAGGTTCTGTCACCGGCAGCCTATGCAACCTTGGTCTCAGTTTCCCTGTCTGTAGACTGGGAGTATTAAAAGTGCTTGCCTCGTGGGATTATGAGGAGAGAACATATGTGCACATGCTGTAGTCATTGTCACTGTCACACCTGCCCCTGGATAACCAGATTGGATGAAGGTGGCCCTCCCTGTTCCCAGCCTCACCTTGATGGGCCTGTGGAGCGCCGGCCTCCTCCAGCGCAGCACGAGCAGGCCCAGGATAGTGACGCCGTAGCAGAGGTAGTTGATGAAGGACACATAGTTGATGAGTGTGTATGTGTCACCCACGAGCATGATGACCGCTGTGGCCCCGCACTGGAGAGGAACGAGGGCTGACAGCCGGCCTCCCACCTGCTTCCTGCCATCCCTGCAGGCTGCCCTGGTCCTGCCCGCTCAGGTGAGGAGGTCAGGTGAGTCTCGGCCCTTCCCCAACCTCCACAGCATATCTACCACAGCCAGGAACCCATTCCTGGCACTACCCAGAAAGCACCCACCCATTGCTGGGTGTCTCTGGCTCCACATGCTGACTGGCCAGGGTCCCCCAACTTACACAGACAAGAAGGGCAGGGATAGGGGTGCAGCGTCTGACATGGATCATGGCCAGCAAGCTGGGCAAGTGTCCTTCTCGGGCTCCAGAGAAGCATAGCCTGGGCATGGGGACAGAGATGGATAAGGGCTAGAGCCCGGCCTCGGGGCTTCCCCAACACTGGCTAGAACCAGATGCTACTCTCTCACTGGTACCTTGGACCTCCTGGACCCTACATGCCTCTCGTGTAGTTTCCTTCCTGCTTTCTTCTTTTTAAAATGTTTATTTTATGTGTATGAGTGTATTGTCTGCATGTGTGTAAGTGCACCGTGTCATGCAGTACCTGAGGAGGTCAGAAGAGGGCGTCATAGCCTCTGGAACTGGAGTTAGGATGGTTGTTAGCCACCATGTGGGCGCTGGGAATTGGACCCAGGTCCTCTGCAACAGCAGCCAGCGCTCTTAACTACTGAACCATTTCTCCAGCTCTTCTTGCTTTTTTACCTCAGTGTTGCCATTGGACATTTGTTACTGGAGGTTTCATCGCCTACACACACCAGGGCTTTGCCTCACCTAGACCACCCTCTTCCCCTTTTCCCCAGCCCAGTCACCTGGACGAAGTGAACAGGTAACCATTGATCCCTCCAAAAGTAGACAGTGCCACAGAGACAGGCATGACCCATGAAAAGTAGCCCAGCAGCTTCTCCCCAAAGGTCTGTGTGGGCACAGAAGAGAGGCCAAGTGTGAGGTTGGGGATGGGTTGGGGCATGGGGCGGGCCTGTGTGGATAGGATGAGGTCCTCACTCACCACAGCCACTGCGTTGGAGGACAGCAGCTCCTGGGGGGACATGGCAGTGAAGTAGGCGATGTTGGTGAATGTGTACACAAAGGTTACCAGTGGGATGGAAATGAAGATGGCTCGAGGTAGGTTTCTAGGGGCAGAGTGGAGTGTGTCATTGGTAGCTCTTAGTTGGGGAAAGGAGCCTAGGGGACCTATAGCAGGGGAGCCTGGAGTATCTGTCTTCTGTATCACCCCTAGGGCCTTCAGGCAGGAAAGGGGACAGTATTGCTTCTATAGGTGCCCGCCTTTCCTCCAAACCCCTGCTTGAGTAAAAGAAGGGTAGATGAGGGATGAGGACACGCCATCTCTTGAGGGCAGGATCTAATTAATGTCTGGCTAGAAAGAGAAAATTGCACACAGCCAAAGTCAGGCTGGAAAATCTCCCAAGCGCCTTTAGATCTCAGCCCTCAGGTCTGAGGTCTCCCTGGGGATTTTCCACCCTCTCCAGCCTCCTCAGCTGCACTGTCCCTGTCAAGGTCCCTGGCTGAGCATCAGATGGAATCCCAGCTTCATCCATCAGGACCATGTTGTATGCATATGGATAATTTTGGACCAAATGCAAAATGCTAAGCACAGCAAAACGATACTCAGCCTTTCTGGGGCCCATTGAGGGGCTCAGATGCAGCTGCAGACAGGGAAGGATGCAGCTTCCCAGCTCGCCTTCAAGGTCATTCCCATGGGGCAGCAGGTGCTGTCAGTGGATGGCCAGTGTGAGCCTTGGGTGACAGCAGATCTATGAGGACAGCTGCTTTTCCCACCCGTGCCTGACCAGGCGTTCCACTCACTTTCGAGGGTCAACCAGCTCCTCTGTGACATAGTTGAGGAAGTTCCAGCCACTGAAGGCAAAGGAACCCTGGAGGAATGCCAGGGCCAGGTGACCCACAGAGGGTGTCATCCAGAAGGCGAAGGCATTGCCGGGCCTCAGCTCCTCAAAGTGTCCTGGGGGGCCAGACATGAGGGGGTTAGCATGGTCTCCCCAACCTTGCCCACACTCCCACCCCAGCCCTACCTTGGAAGATCTGAACAAAGCCAACGCCAATGATGAGTGACAGAGCCAACAGCTTCCCACCCGTGAAGATGTCCTGGATGCGTGTGGCCCAGCGCACGCTAGAACCGTTCACCCATGTCAGGAGCACTAGGAAGAAATGGATGTGGGCATCTGAGTCCAAGATCCTCATCTAGGTACATCTAGGCCAGGTGGCAGGGGAAGAGAACCTCCTGCAGCAGCCAGAATGCAAGAGCCCCAGGTCCTTAGGCTCACATTGCAGGCACTGGCAGCTGGGAGCCCCATTCCATTGTCCTTACACCAGGGGCAGAGAGCATCACCAGAGTAGGGCACTCAGCTGCTTGGGGATGGTTACTCAAGGATACTCACTTAGACAGGCCATGGAGAGTACTCGGGAGGCTGTGGCTGGGGGGATGCAGTTGGGGAAGACAGGCTGCAGAACGTAGTTGGAGAAGGTCATGGAGATGACAGCCAGGCTGGTGGGGTACATGATGAGGACGGCACTCCAGAGCAGCAGGAATCTATGAGAGCCAGAGTGACATAGGCATCCTTAGTCCCCTTCCTGGCCTGACCAGCACAAGATGGGTGGGGACCAACTCCCAAGAACTAGTGACCTGTTGGAGGCTAGGGAATGAGGGCTGGGAAAGTGGGTGTTAGAAGGATTGGAAACCAACCCTGAGCCCAGGTGGACTGACCTAGCCTTCCAGCCATAGCATCAACTAGAGCTCCCAGCAGTTTGTGGCTGAAGGTCAGCTGATTCGGAGCAATGTTCCCTGTTCTGGCCTTGGAAGTGAAATGATTTATTCCCTTTATGCCAGAATCTCACCTCTGCAGGATCCCAAGGGGGACTGGTACTCTGGGTTTGGGTCTTTGCTCAAAGACTCTGCCTGAACCCAGATAGGAAGAGTCTCCTTGGGGGACCACCTAGCTCCTGACCCACCATTGAAGGTGGAGAGTCCTCACCTTCGCCCCATGTCCATGTCTCCTGCCCCTTCTTTCTAGAACCGTACCCTTAGTTTCTCAGACATTCTAGAGCAATAGTCCATCCCCCCTGCATGCTGAGTGCCCTGGGGCAGAGTCCTGGGCCCTTTTTCTAAACTCTTCCCCGAGTATCCTCTCCAGGCCTACAGTACCAGCTTCTGCTTTTGTGACTCTTAGACCCTCCACCCAAGACCAAACTGAACACCTCCCAACATGCCACCGAGCCCCCAACACCGCAGTTATCACCCCAAGATAATTCCTTCTCTATCTATGGAGTCTTTAAAAATGGGACAGTGAGGCTGGGTGTGGTGGCATACACCTTTAATCCCAGCACTCTGGAGGCAGAAGCAAGTGGATCTCTGTGAGTTCGAGACCAGCCTGGTCTATATAGTGAGTTCCAGGCCAGCCAAAGCTATATAGTGAGGCCCTGTCTTAAAACCAACCCCCCAAAAAGGGAACAGTGGGTGTCACCCCTAAAACATCAGCCTGACCCTTATGACATTGGCTACCCTGCCCTCCTGAGTTAGGTTGCTAAATGATTTTGGAAGCTGCCTGTGTCTTCAAGAATCTTGGAGAGATGGTTCAGTGATTTAAGAGCACTGGCTGCTCTTTCAGAGGACCCGGATTCAATTCCTAGCACCCACATGGCAGCTAACAGCCACCCATAACTCCAGTTCTAGAGGATCTGACACCCTCTTCTGACCTCAGTGGGCACTTACATACATGCAGGCAACACACTCATACACATTTTTTTTTTAAAAGAAAAGAATCTTGGAGGATCTCGTGGGGATGACTACAGCAGCTTTAGTCTCCCATCTCCTCCAACACTAGCATCTGCCGTGAGCCTCACCTTGCTCCTAGCCACAGCAGACAGACTCCCATGCACATCTGTGCAGGCTTCCAGGGCCTGGGAAGGACGTTCTGTTCACTGAGAGGGGCTGAGAAAAATCATATCCTGTTTGCAAGCTGTGCAAACATGGTTTCCCTATATGGTTTGCTCCCATTCTCTGCTGCGTGGCTGCTGATTTTTGCTACACTCTCAAAGCAAGGGTCAAAGAGACTGTTCCACTCTGCGAGCAACTTGAGGCCAGGGACAGATCTTTTTTACTGTGGCATCCCGAACCCTCAGCTGGAACAAGAGCATTAGAAACACCAGGGATAACTCTTGCAGGGCGTGGGAGGACATCACATCCCTCTTCCCTCTTCTCATAGCAGATGGCTTTACTGAAACAAAGGCCCTCCTTACCTGGGTGCTAGCCTCCTCTAATGGTTTCAGACAGTAAGAACTTCCCTCCCTCCATAAACATCCCCAGGGGGAGGTGGGGCTAAGAGGGAGCTCAGTTTAAATGTAGACATAGAGCCAGGTGCTGTGGTGTAGGCCTGTTATCCCAGTGTTTGGGAGGTAGACACAGGAGATTATGAATTTAAGGTCAGCCTGGACTACATAGCAAGACCCTGTCTCAGAAAGCAAACCAAATAAGATAAAATGAAAGAAAATCCAGAGAGGCCAAGGGCCTAGCTGATACCAACAAAGTAGAATGGGTGGTCATTGGCACTACCCACATGGTTGTAGGGGGCTGCTGGCCACCCCTACTCGTCATTTCTATCTACCCCCACCCCATACCAGAGAGAGAACATCCCCTGCCCTGATGGAGCCCCACACTCACCCAGCCAGGCCCCCGAAGATCTCAGTGACATAGGCGTAGTCCCCTCCGGACTTGGGGATGGCAACTCCTAGCTCTGCATAGCAGAGGGATCCCAGAGCTGTTACGCTCCCTCCTAGGACCCAGACGAAGAGGGCCAGGCCCACAGAGCCTGAGTGCTCCAGGACACCTTTGGGTGAGATGAAGATGCCTGAGCCAATGATGTTCCCTGTGGGGAGAGATGGGAGGTGTCAGGCTGTGGTGCCTTCCGCAGCTCAAGCATCTTGAGTGGTGCAGGCTTCTCTGGGGCAGGAGGACTGAGGTGCTGTAGTGAGGGAGGATGCCTGGCTGATCCCTGGAGGAGCATGAGCAGGTGGCCTGGAGGTGTGGGGATACCACTGGGTCTCTCAGGCCCATGCTGATAACACCTTTGGTCTCCTCCTCAGTCTCTAACATGGGAAATGGCACCTTGTCTAGCTAGCCAGGCTCCCTGCTAGGGATGCGTTTTGAGTTCTTCTATCCCCTGGCTCCCTCTCCAGGTAAGAGTCCGAAAGGATGGCAGAGAAGGGCCACTGTCGTGTAATCCACATAGCCCAGGCTCAGGTCACCTGTTTACCTACTGACCAAAGCATGCCTCCCACAGCCAGACTCCCTGTCGTTTATCTGCCTGCCCTTCTCCTACTGGCCAGAGTCCAAACCCATGGGGTGTCTTGGGGGGTAGGTACTACTCCAAGGGGCTGCCCCTGCATGCCCTGCAGGCTCCTGGGCCTACTCCACAGCCTTGCTCTTACTCGATTTATTTTCTATTTCTCCTTTCCATCAGGGACATAGAACCCAGGCAAGTGGGCACAAACTCACAAGAGACCTTGCTTTCTGGTGCTGTTAGCATGTTTAGGTGCTGGGCAAGGGCCAGTGGGGCGAGAAGGGGAAATGGGTGCTAGAGGTTGTCAGCAGCCGTCATGGTCAGAATGGGGCAGGCAGTGGCCACCAGACAGACACTCTTGTCCTGCTTGGGGTCTGGACACAATCTGCTGTCCCCTCTGCTGTGGATTATTCAATGTGAAATGCCAGCCGGGGTTCAGAGACTTGGGGCTTGGTTCCCCAATCTTCTCTAGTCCAGTATGTAAAATGGCCTTGTTCTAAAGGCCCAGGGAGATTCAGTCATGGAGCTCTCAGCTGACTCACAGCTTGGCATCTTCACTGGGCACCGTCACCAGCAAGGAGCAAGGCTACCTACCCTTATTCACCTCTGTGCCCTGGAACTGGCAGGTTCTCAAAGCCTATGTATTGAATAATTTAACAGCTGACCAGTCAGTATGATGCCCTATGGCCTCCATGCCTGGGAACAAAGGACTGATAGCCTCATCGGTAAGGCAGAGATAGCAGGCTCCTGCTCATTCTGGTCATGAGGACTCTATGGGGGAGAGGAGGTGGCAGGCTCCTGTAACAATCTTCAGCAGTTCTGGAAGGCCTACCTGCACTCATCCTTTGGCTAGTGTGGGGAGGCAGCTGTGGACTCAGAGTGTGTGGGAAAGGGATGTATCCACCATTTCAGGGAGTGTTTAAAGGCCAAACCCTGGAGTGAGAGTCTAAGCATTTATTCAGCTTCACACTCCCCAGCTGACAGAGCAGGGCAAGGCTATGTCTAGTGTTCTGTATCAAAGAATCAGATAACCAGCCTGGTGTGGTGGCACACACCTTTAATCCAAGCACTTGGGAGGCTGAGGCAGGTGGATCTCTGTGAGTTTGAAGCCAGCCTGGCTAGCCAAGTTTATATAGTGAAACCGTGTCTCAAAACAAACAAAAGAATCAGATAACCATCATGGAGATATGCACTAGAGCCTGCATAAGGGAAAGGATTCTGGAGCCACAGAACACATGGATGAAAGAACCAGCACTGGTGGGACCAGCAGCTCAGCCCCCTCTGGGTGGGGTGTGGTGTGGGGGTGGAAAGGTACACATCCATCAAAGCAGAGTCTGCTTTTTCCACCTGCCTGGCCTACAGGCGGGGCTGGCTGAGGACACAGCTGCGGTCAATCTGCATTCACTCCAGGTTCACCGTGCTACCCCTCACCCCCACCCCTCGGCCGGCACAGATTTCCAGTCTGGACAGCCACGATGCCTCACTTGGTGTTCTGGTCACATCCTAGGAGCCCTAAATACATCTAGATAAGGGTAGAATAATTCCTGTGCCCCAACCCCCAGAGGTAAGCTTTGTGCCTCGTCTTTCTGGGAGTAGAGGGGCAGAGAGAAGCCACCTCTCAATATCTCCCCACGAGGGGCCCAAGGCCTGGGTGGGCTGTTGGGTTTGTAAAGGGCCTTTGAGTTTACTCCATCCAGCAGCAGTTCTCAGGACCTGGCGGAACAGGATTTGCCAAAAGCCATTGAGGTTGGAAGCCAGCGGGGGGCTGGGTGGCCTTGGAAGGAGCTGGGTATGTTGGAGCTGGGAGCATCTGGGGCTCCAAGATACCTTCCTTCTGTGGAGACAGTTCAGCCTAGTGGAACCTCTTGGGTACAGTTCTTGAGGAAGCCACGCCTCACACTAGGTCTTTGGGGTAGGTGAGGTATCACCAGCCCTGTGCCAAGTGGCTGGACTCTGTGGTGGGGGTGGGGCCCTATTGTTTTGGACACATGACTTCAGGACCATTTGGAACTTCTCCCACATGGTTTGAGGAGCCATGTGTCCTAGCTAGTGTCTCTGAGGTCTATCAGGGAAAAGGGAGCTCTCCCTCTGAGTTAGGACAAACCCTGTAGTACATGCTCCATGTTTCTGATTGACAGTGGCAGAGAAAACCATGATGCTGTGCTGGACATGCTGGATGCACGAGAGGGATGCTATAGGGAGCCACAGAGGTGGTGGGCTTGGCTTAGCAGTAGAGGATGACACGGGGGAGGGGTGGCGGATGGATGCTGAGAATAGGACTGAGGAGGGTGGTTCTAGTACTTGAATGATTATGGATGTGGAGGACCGTCACCAGAGCTGATTAATTCTAGAATGTTCTCTCCATCAGTGGTGGTGGTGGTGTTAGGTTCAGGCTTCTTGTTGGACACCATATTCAAGCTCTGTAGTTCTGTCCTATGGAGCAGTCCAACAATGGACAACCTAGTCTTCAGCAATCCTGGATTGGAGGAGAACTTGGAGGAAAGGACAAGGACAAAGTAGGAAGCAATAGAGACTCAAGGTGTGATAGGACCAGGTGATGCAGACGTGGGATGGGCCAGAAGATACTGTAGAGTGCTTGGGTGGGTGTCTGACTGACAACCAGAGATGCGGGTCTCAAAGCCTCCACATTCCTGTCCATCCTCTGGCTCCTGTAGGTTTTTCCAGGCAGGCAGGCAGGCTGGTAGACCTTCCTCAAGTTTCCTCCTTCCACTCCTCTTCCTTGTGCCATCACTGGGTGGTTTTTTATCACATTAAGATGTTCGGCCTGATGGGGTTTACCCAGCTCCTTGGAGGAATGAAGAAAGGGCTATTGTTTCCTGGTGGCTGCTGTGGTGCTTGCTGACCTATTTCTGAGAGGCAGTGGCAGATCATGGAGGTCACAGGGGTGGACCATGGGGGTCAAATCTGCAGAATGAGTCGCATACCCATGGTGTGTGTATGTGTGTGTGTGCGCGCGCATGTGCAGTCTGATTTGAGGAGGGACATGGAGGTCAGGACACTGGTAACATCTGTATTTGTAAAAACATGTGCAGGAGTTGGCTGCATGCCTTCCACTCAGTGCTCTTCTGGAACTCAGTTTCCCCATCTACTAGTGGGGCCACCAGTCTAAAGGGCAGCAGAGAGCTTGTCTGACCCTTATTTAGGCAGAAAGGAAGCACATTGCTTATGGTACTGAGCTTGCTCAGTCTCTGTGTCCTGTGCGATGATGGGCAGCTTGAATGACTGGACTTCCAGAAACAGCACCACCTCCAAGAATCTCTCCAAGACCGTCTGTGTTGGCCCCAATAACCTGAGCCCTGTTTCTTTTCCATATACCAGGAAGATGGCTGGAAAGGGACTCCTTTATAACATGCAGACATATTGGTGTGCTTTGATCCTGTCTGGTACAGGAAGTACTTATGGACCTCACTGTTATAAATCTGTGAGAACTTTGTGCCCCACAGCCTTTCCTCTATAGACCCAATTTCTAGGAGACCCCAATACCCTGGGGGTGAGCAGTCAGAACTTTGCTGAGATCTAGGTAAATGAAACCAGCCCCACTCTGGGAGTCATTCTAGTAAGCATGTGTCAAGTTCCTCCTAGGCATGACAGCCGGACACACTGAGGTGAGTGGGGGACATCCAGGCCATGTCTCAGATTGCTAAGTGGCTAGTGTGTATCTCCAGCCTAACCTACCTTTGGAGAGGGGATGAACAGAAATGTTTGGCCCTCTCTACCTGGGACTACTCAGCAGAATCCCGCCAAGCCCAGTAGGGTAACCAGCACCCCATCTCCAGGCCAGGTCTTGTTATGGTCGCCCATGAATTCCATGGTGCTAAATCTGACAGTCAAGCACCAACTTGTGTCTTCCTGGATTTCATCAGTGTTATGTGGCAGATTGATCACATACAGCCCACTCAGTATCCCAACCGGGCTCCTATGGTGTTGATTTGTTAGGATTCTTTTTTGTTTGTTTGTTTTGTGTAAGATGAAGCCTCGACATGTAGCCGAGGTTGGCCTCTACTTCAATATCCTCTGCAGTGCTGGGGTGACAGGTATGTACCTCCATGCCTGGCTTCTTGGACTACTTTATAGCTTTCTCATCTTGCCTAACTTCTAAACCACCGGATGCTCAGGGCTCAGATCTGGGTCCTCTCTTTCCTCCGGCAGTTGCTCCCTCGGAGACCTCATCCAGCCCCCTGATGGCAACTCCCAAGCTAAATCCTTTCCATGAACTCCAATCAACCTAGACCACACACTTCCCCACATTAGGCTTCTCCAACCTAGCATGTTTTAAACAGAATTCCAGACTTCCCTGTCCCTTTTCTGTGAATATACTCTTCTCTAAAGTTGTCCCGGTTGATCAAAGATAAACCAGTCCCCCAATTGCTTGGACCACCACCTGTGTCACCCTGGACTCTTGCTCCCACATCCAACCTATCACAAACCGTCTGGGTCTACATTTTAAATATAACCAGACCCAAACTTCCTCTTTGTTCCCACTGCTGCCCCCTGCCCTGTGCCACCATTGCCTCTGTCCAAGGGACTCAAATGGCCTCCTGCCTGACCTCCCTTCTGTCACCTTTGTCCTGAGTCTTCCATAGTGAGCACAGTAACTTCCATCCCAACCCTTCTCTACCCAAAATGCACCCACAGTTTCTACCTCCAAAGGAGAAAAAGGCAGAGTCTTGATTCTAGCCAGCAACCCCACCATCAAGCCCCCCCAACCCCACTCTGCGACCTCAGCCTGCCCCATCCCCTTTTCTGCCTCAGTTGTCTGGCCTCAGCACTTATCACGACCACTGGCTGAATGTATGGCTATTTTTCTTGTTTGCTGATGGATTCCTTTGCTGCGATGTCAATTCCAGCAGAAGGACATGTCTGCCTTGTCCCCTGTTGAATGTCCATTTCACCTGGCCCTGATGAGTGGCTGCATGAGTGTATCTGGGGCTGGTAAGTGCTCATCCTTGTGGCTGGAGCTGTGCTAGCCTCCAGTGGTGTTCCACAGGACTCCAAGGGCGTGAAGACTTGGGTGGGCTGCAGCCTTGAAGCCTCAGTTTTCTCATTTGTAAATGGAGCTAGAGCATCCCCAGGACCTAGGGAGGAAGAGTGTCTGCAGAGGCCCATCCACCTGTCACCCTGGAGATGCAGACAACAATGTGACACGTCTGGATGACCAGCAGACACCGGCCCCTAGAAAGGTGGAGTGAGTCATGCAAAGGCCTCCCAAATTGCAATATATACTTGAACTTGACCCTAATGAGCTGGACACTTGAATCCCAAGGGGAGAATGGAGGAATAACAGTCTGGGCAGCTGACCCACAGTGACCCGCTCTGCTGGACTTGAACACACCCCTTCCTTGGTTGTAGATCATATGAGGAGATGGCTGAGGTCTCCAGATCAGGAGACATTAAGTATAGTTTCTGGGGTGGGCTGACTTCCCTGTCCCTCTGTCTCTGCATAGTGGAGTGGGACCTCAATCTATCCTAACTTGATCCTGAGCCTTCCTCCACCAAGGGTGTTGAAGTCTAGCCCTCGTTTCACCCCGTCCCAGTAGCCTAAAGGACACTGGATGCAGCCTGGAACTCAAATCTGAACCCACCACTTACAATCAGGGTCATTTAGCTCCCTACCTCAGTCTCTGTATCTGTAATGAGTATAAAACTTCCCATCCCACAGGTGGGCATGAGAATCAAAGGAAGTAAAGAAAAGAGTATGTTTCCATAAAACACGAAGTGGTGTTTTGAACTGCTATTGGCTATGTTATCGTCCTGTGTAGCCCTGCCCCAGCCAGCTGCTTCCTCCTGCCTAGTCCCCTCCGGGTTTGCTTGCTTTCATCTTTGAATATAGTCCTACACCTGGGTGAGGGGGAGTCTCACTCCTGCCTGTAGTCAGCCTTTCAGATGGGAGATATCTCCCATTTCCCAAAGCCTCACTCTTCAGCCTGGGATGAGGCAGATGCTATATTGAGAAGTGAGTTACAGGATCCTCTGGGAGGATCTGTTTGGAAGTTTTAGAAAGAGTCAAGACAAGGCTGGAGAGATGGATCAGTGATTAAGAGCACGTGATACTCTCACAGAGGACCAGAGTTCAAGTCCCAGCAACCACATCAGGTGGCTCACAGTTGCCTGTAACTCTCTAGCTCCTGGGGGAATTCAATGCCTTTGGCCTCCTTGGGCACCTGTACTCAAGTGCACAACGCCCCCCCCCCCCAATTTAAAATAAAAATAAAATCTTTTAAAAAGAAAGAAAATAAATAATTCAGCCACAGGTAACTAATAAGGACAGATGATGCATAGGGATGTAAAGTTTTCCAAAATTTGTAACCCTAGGGGCTGGAGAGAGGCTCAGTAGTTAAGAGCTCTGGCTGCTCTTGCAGAGGACCTGGATTTGGTTCCAAGAACCTACGTGGCAGCTAACAACCATCTGTAACTCCAGTTCCAGAGGATCTGACACCCTCTTCTGACCTCCATGGGCATTGCATGACACAGGTGCACTTACATATGCACAGGCAATACACTCATACACATAAACTAAAATTAAAATAATACATAAAATGTTATGAAAAAGATTCCTAACCCTAAAATATGATCCTTTGGAGACTTCTGACTTTGACCACGCTTCCCAGATTACCAATTCCCAGGGATGGAGCAGGAGTTTGTGCATCCACAACTGGAAGTTGGGGTGATGTGGAGAAGGCAACCCAGAGCCTTTCATGGGAGGAGATGAACCCTCAGGGCTTCAGGAGGGCAGGAAAGTGTGGATCTGACCTTCTCTCCAGTCACCTGGTTGAGGACAATTCTCTTTTTGGCCTGTCTACTGCCTGGCCCAGCTTCCTAACTGATGTAACTCTTCAAAGCTCCACAAGTCTGGCGCACTGGGCTACCACTGGAAGGAGCTGTGTCTCTCCTTAACCTCTCTGGTACTTTAACCAGCTGCAGACATGGCCAGCCTCTTGACTCCCTGACTCATTTGTGATATGTGGGGTTTCCTTTTCTGGGGTATAGCCCCTGAAGCACAGAAAGGCTGGGGCAAAGCTCTAACCAGTACCCTGGTCAAGCTCCCAGAATCAGCCCTTTCTGTTAAGTGAACAGTCAGGCAGGGGGGTTCCTGGCCTCAGATCAGGGCTAGTCCTGGGAGACACCATTCTAGGAGAAAGAGAGTGAGACTGTGGAGCCACCTGTCTAGAGCTGGGTTCAGAGGTGACTCTGGATATAAGTGCAGGGGATAGCCAAAAAGCTACTCTGAAGTTCTCCAATTGGAGCATCTCACATGGGGGGATGCAGAGCTGGAGGCGGTGAAGACCCAGAAACTACCACCCCACAGAGCACCTCACCCTTTCTCCATCTCCAGGAGTCAAAGGACAGTAGGGTGACAGTACACCTGCAGTCCCCACTGGCTGGGGAAGAGGATGGTGTTAAGGCAAGAGCAGCAGTCAAGGCTCCTTATCAATCATTTGGACCCCCATTTCCTGGGTACAGGGGACAGAAAAAGTCCCTTCCAGAGGGTTAGTCCTGTTCTTCAGGAGTCGCTGGCCAAGGAGAAGATGTCTCTGCATCTTCTGCCTATCCAGAAGCCCCTGTGTAGAGGGAGAACACACACCTGGGGCTAGAGGGCCAGGCCAGGAGAGTACCCAGTCAGATCCCAGGACTGAGCAGGAGACGCTCTGCCCACCATTGTGCAATCACTGGCTACTCCAATGCCTTTCTCTGGGTCCTGAGGCCACACCTGCCAGGAAGGACAGTTCCCAGGCCATTTCCCTTCTGTTTAGTCTCTACCTGGCCATCTACCCAGTCCTTCCTGTTTTCCAAGAACAAATGCTTCCTGCCTGGCACCTGTACTGGGCACACAGTAGGGATGCAGGGCAGTCTGTCCCATAGTCCAGAACTTGCCACTCAAGGCTGGTTTAACCATTATTTCCGTTTCCTAGATAGAAACGGTAATTACCTTGCCAAAGCCCTACAAAGTAAAGGCTGGGGAAGGGTTTCAGCAGGAGAGATGCCCCCAGAACTTTCCAGGAGCAGATTTTCAGGTCATTTGGGGAGGTGGGAACAGGAGACTCTGTGCCCTCTGTGCCAGGCCCTGCTCTGGGCTGGTCAGTACATTCCCCAGCCACAGTGGCAGGTGCTCCAGGGTCCCATGGCGAGGGAGGAGCACTGCAGGGGTGCCCCTGCATGGAACCGTTGAACATCCCGCCAGCCTTCCACCTTGTCTCTTCCGCCCAGACTCACCGATGATGATGGTGCAGGCGCTCACCAGCCCGATCTCCTTCTTGAGCGCCACCCTTTCCAAGGCTCCAGGTCCGGGGCCCGGGCCTGCGGAAGGCGAGGGCGCAGGGCCTCGGTTCCCGCGCCCACTTGGCTGCTGTATGTGGCCAGGCATGCCGGTGTCCCGCCGCATCCCAGCTCCCTGCACTACCCCGTCGGTCCCGCCGGCCGCCAGTCCGTCGGTCCGTCAGTCTGTTGGTGCGCTCACGGCCCTCGCAGCTCGCAGCCGGGGACAGCGCCTACAGGCGGGCGCATGCGCTGGCGCAGGGCCCGGGCCCCCGGGGGCCCCCCGGGCTGCGGGGACCAAGGAGGGGCGGAAGGAGGGACGGCCGGCAGCCCCCTTCTCTCCCCGCCCCCCTTAAAGGGAACTCCCTCTCCCCCCAGTCCTGGCCTGGAAAGAAAGGAGGAAACGGGGCAGAACTAGGAAGAACTTCCTAGTTAAGAGAGCGAAGGGGCTAAATCCAGTATGGGATGGGGGAGCAGAGCTCAGCCTAGATTGTCCCTGCCCTCAACAAGCCAGAGCAAGCTCTTAAATCTCATTAGTATGCAGGGGGTCCGGGGTGCACAGGTGGAAACTGAAGCCCAGAGGCAGGGCCCCGACGCAAACCTTTTCTGATTAGCACCTTGGCCTTCAGGGCGTGATGTCCGAATGTGATGGACAGTTATAGGATGAGTGGGGATTGTCCCCGGAACAATTCTAGGGGTCAGGGTCCCTTGGATCAAAAGCTGGGGAAGAGATGAAGACCTCGGAGTCCCGAGCCATTTAGAGGGACCCCCAGGGCATCTTGGAGATTTTGGACAGCCTCCATCAACTCCATCAAAGTCCCCAGTCTCATCCCCCTCCACAACCTGTTGTGGCTCAGGTCTTGGCTATGTCTCCACCACCTACTCCTCACCACAGTCAGAGTCAGGACCCTGTGGACTAGGACTTTGGCTCAAGCCCCATGCCGTCCAGCCTGGCTCAAGGTGGCCAAACCACTTGGAAGTGCCCAGGAGATGCGAAGGAGGGAGCTGTGGTCACGGTAAGGGGTGGGATGCAGGGTCCAGGACAGCCTGCCTCCTCCCGGAAGCCATTCGGACAGTGCAGCCGAGCCCGCCGGACAGAAGCAGGGGGGCAGCGTCTAGGCCACCGGGGCGGCGGGCGGGGCGAGGCTGGCACTGTGCAGCCGGCGGCGGAACAGCCTTTGTGTGCTGCTGGCCGCGACGCGCCGTCCCCTGCATGTGGATGAGGCCGCGTGGGGCCACCCGTCCTACCCTCGATTGCAGCCTCACGGCTTGCTGGGGCCCAGCAGGGGTGCGATGGCTGTAGGGAGGACCCATCAGGATTAGGGTCCTGGTCCTTGGGGTGGGGGCGGAGCATGGAGATGGGAGCTTGGCTGGTGGCCCAGCGTGCTGCTGGCAGGAGGGAACTTCGAAGTTGGGGCGGGGAATAGAAGCAGGAGAATCTGGGGGAGAGGAGGGGGAAGCCACCCAGCTGAGCTTCATCCTCCGCGCTCTGGTCTTGTCTCCGAGTCCTGCATTCTTGGCGACCTCTGCATCCCGCCCCAGAGACGCCTCAGGGTCTCTTAAAGGAACCTCGCGCAGGGTGGGATGGAGGAGCGGATAGCAGGTGGTAAGGACTTTGGGGCCTTGACCTTCTGGCTTGACTGACCACCCAGTTGCCTCTGCAATCCCCAGGTCCAGCCAAAAAGTATTGCCCTGAAGCTCGTTGTCAAGGACCAGAGTCTGGGATGAGGGTCACAGTCCAGAAGTCTGTAGGTTTTCAGGATGAGCATCTTGTGGGATGGAATGTGGGGTTTGTGTTTGAGAGGTAGAGCTGAGTCTAGGGGCTGCACAGGGTGGACTCCGCATGTCTTTCTCCAAGGTCATCATAGCTCAGGAAGTCATTTTAGTGGAATGGAACTAGACTCTTCAGACTCAAATGGGAATGAAAGGTTAGTAAAACTAGATTACCATCCCAAAAGCAATCAGTGTAATTTCCCACATTAGCAGAGGAGAAGGCAAACTATTCAATAGATGGTCATCCATGATTTAAACACACACACACACACACACGCACGCACACGCACACGCACACGCACACGCACAAACACTCTTAGCAAATTAGAAGCAGAGCCGCCTCTATCTGATAAAACTATCTACCTAAACGCAGGTCTCCAAGAAATAAAACACAAAGGAAAACTCAACAGCTCCCATCATGCTTCGCAGTGAGCTATGAGCTGCTTTTCCGCTGAGGTGGGAAGTGGAAGGAATGTTAGCACTGTCAGTTTTGTGTAGTACTGCACTGTAAATGCCAGCCAGAGTAGTAAGGCAAGAAAAAAAGCCTAAAATAGTCTGAAGATAAGAAAGAAAGACCAAAACTGCCATTCACATATGAATGATTGGTTACAGAGAAAATACAAAGGTGAACTTCAGGTCAGGTTCATTTGGTATGGTCACAGGATACAAGAGCAAGATAATACAAAAATGAATTGTATTCCTGTATACCAGGAACAGTTTAAAAATGAAATTTATGGAGCTAGAGAGATGGCTCAGCGGTTAAGAGCACTGGCTGTTCTTGCAGAGGATCTGGGTTCGATACCTAGCACCCACATGACACCTAACAACCATCTGTAACTCCAGTTCCAGGGGATTCGACTCCCTCTTCTGTACTCCGTGGGCACTGCATGACATGGTGCACTTACATGCAAGCAATACATTCATATACATAAAATAAAGTAAAATAATAAAATATTTTAAAAATAAAATTTATAATAGAATAAAAATAAGTATGTGGGGCTGGAGAGCTGGCCAGTGGTTAAGAGTGCTTGCTGCTCTTGCAAAGCACCTCAGTTTTGCTCCCAGCACTTACATGGTGACTCACAACTGCCTGTGACTACAGTTCCAGAGAATCCAAGGCCCTCTCTGGCCTCCTCAGGAAGTACACACAGGGTGCACATGAACTCATGTAGGCTCACATACACATAAAAAAAATATTTTTTTGGTTTTAAAAAATGCCCAAGAATAAACTATGTTTATGGATTGGAATTTAAGATGTTTTTTACCAAATTGACCTTAGAATTGATTGATGGTTGATACATCTCAATCTCTTGTTATTTACTTGTTTTCTCTTTTGGGGGAGTAGTAAGGGATGAGACTGCACAAGTTGATTCTGAAATGTATGTGCAGTAGAGCGAAGTCGGAGGGTGTACACTATTGTACAGAAGATGGTGTGGTAATAGGGAAAAAGAGCAAGTGGGAAGAACCAAGTGCAGAGATCTACCCGTTCTGGGTCTATCGACACCAAGTTACACTGCAGGACTATGGAGGAAGGATGGACATTTTAAAAAGTTGTGATGGGTCAGAGTCTCCATATGGGGCGGGTCGAGAAACTCTTATCGTCTTATGCCATACCCTAAAACCAATCTGTGTTAGCTTCCCATACTGTAACAAATGCTTGAGATCATCAGCTCACAGAGAAGGTATATTTATTAACTTTTTGGCTAACATACAAAATAATGGGTTTCATGGTGGCATTGCCATGTATATCCATCACTATATCTTGTTCACATTCACCCCCCACTACCTTCCCCATCCCTCCTACCCCCTCTCTTTACTGGTCCTCTTTCTCTCCTAAATAGTCCTCATTCCTCTTTATGTCATACACACACACACACACACACACACACACGAATGAATGAATGAATGAATGAATGAATATAGGTTCCACACATGAGCGAAAACATGTGGTCAGTTTGGCTGGGTCTGGTTTATTTTGCTTAACACAATGATCTCCAGCTCCACCTATTTTCCTGAAAATGTCTGTTTCATTCTTCCTCACTGCTGAATCAATTCCACTCTGCATGTACACCACATCCTCTATCTATTCATCTGTTGATGGGCATCTAGGCTATTCTCATACCTTGGTTATTGTGAATAGTGCAGCAGTAAACACTGGTGTGCCACCATCTTTGTGGTGTGCTAATTAGGTTCCTTTGATTATATACGACTTAGGTTCCTTTGGCTATACAACCAGGAGTGGGCTAGCTGGACTATATGGTGATTCTCTTAGCACTAGCTAAGATTTCAAGCACTGTATTAAATATAGTGCTTACCTCACAGAACTCTGTCAAAGGCCTTTTCTACAATAAAACATTTATTTTGGCACCAGCTTTGTAGGTTCTAGTCCATAATGGATTGGCCCCATGGCCTTTGGGCCCGTGCTTTCGCAGCACATGTTGGTGAGAAGTACAGGGTGAAGCAAAACTGCTCACTTCATGGTGACCAGGAAGAGGGGGGTGGGGGGAGAGTATTCTCATTGTCCTCTCTAAAGGTATGTCCCTAGTGATTTTAAATCTTACACTTGGCCCTTCTTAAAAGTTCCACCATTTCCTAATAGCACCAAGCTGAGGTCCAAGCTTTTAGCATATGGGCCTTTGGGAAACATTCTAGATCTAAACTCCAACACAGTCCCAGACAAATGTACACATGAAAGGTGAAACATGGAATCTGCTAGAATGTCTAGGGGAGAGAATAGATTTGTTTTCTTAAACAGAACACCAGAAACATTAACAAAAAAGAGTATACACCAGGTCCATTAAAAATAGAAACTTAGCACTCTGGAGGCAGAGGCAGGCAGATCTCTGTGAGTTCAAGGCCAGCCTGGTCTACATAGTGAGTTCCAGGACAGCTGGGGCTACAGGGAGACCTTGTCTCAAAAAGACCGAAAAAAAAAAAAAAAAAAAAGAAACTTCTGGGGGCTGGAAAGATGGTTCAGCAGTTACGTTCTTCCAGAGGACTGGGGCTCAATTCCCAACACCCACGTGGTAGGTAACAACCATCTGTAACTCCAGTTTTAGGGGGTTCAGCCCCCTCTTCTGACCTCTGCAGGCATTGCACAACACAGGTATACCTACATACATGCAGGCAAAACACTCATACACATAAAATTAAAATAATAAATAAAATATTTAAAAAATAGAAACTTCTTGGGATTGGAGAGATGGCTCAGTGGCTCTTCCAGAGGACATGAGTTCAATTCCTAGCACCCATGTCAGTGGCTCACAACCACCTCTAACTCCAGCACTGAACAGACTTGCACAAACCAACACATATATACACACACTTTTTAAAAAAGAATAAAAATTTTAAAAATACTTAAAAAATCAGAGGCTTCTGTTAATGGAGGAATATGTATGAGACAGAAGAGCGAGCCAGCCACATGTAAGAAACTGTTTCAATGCA